ATTTGTGAGTATTTTTGAATTCAGAATAAGGAATATGATTATTTTTGTGTGAAAATTCACTGCCTGTGAAATCCAAATACTATAACCTATACGAGAAGGAGTATGAACATTTTTTGAAACGGAAAGATGGAAACGGAAGATGGAGTAAATAAGGTAAATGAAACTATCTTTTAATGGCATACTTCCAGGAACGGAGGAACTGAAAAACTCTCCTGATGAATAATAATATTTTTAATTTATTTTACATTATTTCAGTCTGATAAATATAGTTCAAATACTCTATGGGCCAAATACTCATAGCTGATATCAACATTGATTGTTAAAGGAAACACTAATATATCGTAGCATTCAACCAACTGATGGCCTTTCTGAAATACAACAGAAATAATAAATGCATTGATTCACCTGCAGTTGAAAATACTATAGGAAGTGTTCCTTTTATATGCTTCTATCATAGCGAAATACTTTGATTTGGAAAACCCGAAATGTTACACCGGACATTGTCTAACGACGGTAGCGGAGAGCTATATTGAAGAAAGTATCTCCTCGAAGAACAAAATTGCTACAATGATAGCCCATTCCATTTCCGAAAAAGAAAATGTTAACGTTCCGAACGAAACCGAATGCACATTGAGGAGATCATCATCGGTCAACTCACAGAACTTCAAACTTGGTACTAATTTTTCAGGAACATTTGAAAATAGTAATTTCTATTTGAAAGAAAATAATTAGTCACTTTTTTTGTAGTTATAAATAAAACTTTTCTGAGTAATTGATTTATTGCACTACAGAAAAAAAATTAGCGGGCGGTATGATTCATAATGCCCTCCATAACGCCCTGGGACTGCTAATATCAACCGTTGCCAAGGTATTATGAAGCAGTAATGGACAAGTGAAAAATAAACAAACTATTTGCGTGGAGACTTCCATGGAAAATATCCTTCAGAAATCTTGGATATCATTCCATCATCAGCACTACCAGTGAGACGACTCGATACTCAAGCAGCACATATTCTTTCGTCGAACCTCGAGATTTGCCGAGCTACTCATTACCAAGACCCGTTTGTCCTTACGCACAATGTTGGTGGTTCCACGGACATAATAGGGATCACCAAAATAGTACAAAAAGTTGTATTTCGTGCAAAATAAATTTTATTTAATTTCTCGTAGCAGAGCGCTTTCGGCAAACAGTCATCATCAGCGCGTATATACCTGTAAGTAAGTAATCAGCTTTTAAATACATTTTTTCTGAATTTTATTTTTTGGAAACAGTTAAATTAGAATTTGAAAATTAATAAGAGTTGATAAACATTTAGCTATTGAAAAAGGTATCATAAAATTGAAGAGTGAAAAATGTTAAATAGGAATTTTGAACTTAGTAAAAGCGAGGTTACTCACTCGTCAGATTGACAACAATATCTTACATTAAAATATCTATTGGTGCAGTTGGGTAATATTATTATTATGTTTAGATATGATGTTAATATCACTCAACTGGACCAAAGATATTTTTATGGATGATTTTCAAGTCAACCTGAGTAAGTAGCCTCACTTTTACAATCTGTGCTTTTACTAACATCTAAATTCATATATTCATCATTTTTCGATTTTATGATGATGTCTTTTTCAATAGTTAAAAGTTGATTGACTTTCACTAATTCACAAATTAAGATTTGACTTTAAAAAAAAATTCTCAATTGTCCCTGAGGTATTTTTCAATTAATTACTTACAGGTCAGTCGAAAGCGCTCTGCTACGAGAAATTGAATAAAATTTATCCTGCCCGAAATAAAACTTTTTGTACTATTTTGGTATCTCTACACGTGCACACAGGTAAATAACCCTCACATAATAGGGATTCCCTTTTGCGATCCAAAAAGATGGAAAAAAATTCAGAAAAGCCGCAATACGGCAACTAAGTTTCTATTTTTAGTAGTACTAGAATGAAAATTTAGGTTGGCACATCGTGGTTAGTATCTATCTAGTAGAGGTGGGCGATAAACGATCATCGGAAATTTCGAAAATTATCGATAAATCGGTAATTTTTTATTCGAATTATTATCAATATTATCGATAATTATAGATACATCGATGAATTCGCTCACCCCTAGTAACTATAGATACTTTATACAGGGTGTCCCATAAGTCATGGATCAAAAGAAGTGAGGTGCAATCAAACTAACGGTATATGTGGTTATCAAATTATTATCAAAAGTAAATAACTTTTTTAATTTCTATAAATAAAATCAATTACAATACAACTATATGTCTCATTTGTGACGGAACTAATTTTTTTCCCACCACTAGCTATAGAACCTACCAATATGTACTCCTTTTCAAGGCGTAAAGTGCGTTTTTACTACCAAGGTAGTTTTCGTCATTTTATGAACAGTGCCGGATTTATACTCCCTTACGCCGGGGGCTAACTTTTACGATGCCGCCGCGCCGCCGCCAAATATTAATTTCAATTGTCGGTTTCAAATTTCAAATAATCTTTTCACTGCTTTTTTTAAAGCACATAACAATAACATGAGATTTTTATGTACAACGAATCGAATTATATTTACTTCACACGTTAAACATAACAACAAACAACAAATATTTTTTTCAAATGAATACTAAAATACTTTTCTCGATTTTTTTTGATGCAGAGTCGTCAATGGCATCATCAAAATTATAGTCAAGTTCTTTCGAGAGTAATTGTGCCTCTTTTTCGTAAAAATTGAACTTTTCCCGCAAACATTCATAATACGTCAGGCAAAGTACTTTCTGTAACAATTTTGCTGATGATGAAGCTTTGAAGCTTCAAAACATGTCTCAATTTCCAATTTAAATAAAGTAGAGTTTTGGTGGAGTTGACTGTAAGATTTTCTTCCTGCCCTATTATCTTCACTCCATTGTAAGATGGATCGACTCAGATGGTTCTAGTGTAGATACTTTTTTTGCCAGTGCATCAGATTGACAGCGAACTTACATTTTTTCCTCTCTGTTCAGGCTTATTTTATGAAGTGTATCTTTAATCACCATTCCCGTCTTGAGATCGTGAAGTTCCCGGAGACAGTTCTGTCAGTTCTCATTCTGTCTTATTTGAATTTAGAAAAACTGAATGTATTTTAGGACATTTCTTGACAACTTCGTCTAACTGCTTTTGTTTATTGATGTTCTGCCGTTTCCAGAATGCACCACCTTCTTTTTTACTCATTTTTTTAAATTTCAGTTTCAATATTTATTCACTATTAGTACCATTACCAACAATACCAACGACAACCTATTAAATACTGAACTCTGATTTTGTTTTTTGTTATTGAGTTAGACGAATCACGAAATTACCCCTACTCTACTGGGCATCATCAAATAAAAGTATGTACCACCGCCGCTTTTGTATTGTAGCGTCCAAGACACAGCTGACCCTGTATTGTTGCTTGCTTTTTCTCCTTTTCTCTACCGCCTCTTGGAATTCACCGCCGGGGGCTGATAGTCCCATAGCCCCCCCCCCCTAAATCCGGCACTGTAGCCACCTCCAATCAACCCAAATTTACTGTTCTTATGCAAGACTCGCAAGAATGGCACTCGAATGATCAATAACGACTTGTCATATGCTGTCATGATCATAGCTACTAGATTTTAATCAGAATTGAAAAGAAGTGCTATCATGGTGACAATAGGTCCATATATCAGTTCCACAGAACTATATACTGATTTTCTTTACTACCTTGGTGTATAAATAACTATTATGGAATGTGATTTACTTCCTATCAATTGAGAAAAATGTTGCTTTGCTGAATGAAATATTCAATTCAGTTGTTTTTTTATTGCCGCTGGCAGAACAGAACAGCCTTTTTGTAATTGATTTTTTTCTGTGACGGGAAAAAAGTTTGGCATTTCATCTCTGTTGGCAGGTTATAAAATGTCACTTCCATTAATTACTTTTTTCCCGTGGGAAAAAAGTGAGTACTTTTTTCCCGGATATATATCACATATATACACTGTTGATGGCTTTTGTAGTGCTATAGTTCCGAAAAATGAGTCAGTAATACCGTCTCCGAGAAAGAACTGCAAGTCCTTTTATCTTCCATTCGACTTCGCGGTTACGTATATTACTAAATAACCACTAAATTCGCATTTTTTTGAAATCAAATCACAGAATTAGACTGACAGAAGTGACATCAGATATTTGATTACTTCAAAAGAATGATAAAGATGCCTACAACGCAAGTGTCCCTACTATTAAAAACTTAAAATTTCACGTCGATAATTTTCAGATTTCAAAATGATGTAATATCTTCTCAATATTCATTTGTCCTTTATTCTATCACAGAAAAAAAATGTGTATTATACACGGGAGAAATATTACTACTTTTTTTCCTTGTATAATAAATAACTATTTTTCAAATCGGTCGTGTTTTTCAGAACAATTGAATAACGTTTGAACCATCAACAATTGGATAACCATATATACGGTTAGTTGGATTGCAAATGACCTCCTCTAACCCCCCACTTCTTTTTAACCATGACTTATGGGACACCCTTTATAGTAATCTAGAGTTGTTTGATGTCTATAGTCAGCTAATCTTCATTTTCATAGCATTGCATTACTGTAATTTCTCCTTCTTTGCTTTTCATGGTGTGTGTTGATTTTTGGAACTGTTATTTTTAATACTTTGATTTTTTAGGAAACATAAATTTTGCATTGAAAATTGACATAGAGGTGCCTGTTGGCAAAGTGCAGAGATAATATATTATGTTTACATGAAATTAGTGAACTTTATCAACGTAATACTTGCAGAGAAACCCAGATAAGTATTTAAATCTATAGAACATTTTTTGTTTCGAGTAATGCGCAGTGTATAGAACCAGTATGATTGAATTATTGTTATCATGATCATGATCTACAAATAACATAAAATAAAATATGTTCCATTTAAAAATATTTATTCCTAAATGATCGGTTCACCCTGTATATTCGAAGATTTTCAGGAGTTATTGCCTCATTATTTATAACAGCTAGGACATGCGGTATACACTTTCTTCCCCATATTAACTTTTACAAATATTTACCTATAATCTATAAATATAACCCACTTATCGCGAAATTTTTTGAAATAAATCGTCAAAACAGTAGTGGTGCTCATTTATAATAATATTATGATTATATTTACTTATTTCCGCGTGAAGTTATCTATCGTGCATTCGAACACAAGTCGAAAAATAATCTATAGGCATATACTTATAGGACTAATAGGTACCATTTGTGTTCGCATGTGTGTTGTGTTGTTTTTAGAGATTCTAGGTTACTCATTAATTCTTTAGAAAGTGACGAATCTCGACAGAGCTGGCGAACCTCGCAGACTAACCATAAAAGTAAAACATTTAACAAAAACGTGGGAGCAACGATTATGACGTAGCGGTCACCCATAACCTGTTGCTGGTCTCGCGAGCGCGGTGTCTTCACTTTCAAAAATATCGCGGCCGCGTTCACATATAGGTACGCTAGAATTTTTATACCAAGTAGTGTTGTTTTCCCTAACCTATATCAACGACTAGAACGAATAGAGTGTATCAACATGACAGTGAATAAAGGTGGAAACGCTACGAGCAAGACAAAAAAGAAAACTACCACATCCAACACTGCCGCTAGTTCATCCAGCACAAGCAAAACAAGTACCAGTAGCTCTGTTGTCAAAAATACTTCAACGAAAAGCGAAGTTGTCCAGTCGGGTGCCGTATCAAAGTCTTCCTCTGCTTCGAGCCTGCAAATAGCGGACGTCTCTCATTTACCGGTAAACGCGAAAATCGTGAAATATACCGTGACAGAATCTTTGCCTACCGGTGGCGGCGAAAAAATAACCACGTACGGGGAAACTGGCCCAACTTCAACCGAATATAGACATTTCATTTCTAAAGATGCTGCCAACCATTCCGCGGAAATCCAACAGTTGAGTTCGGTTCTCAACCAATCAATTACGAATTTGGACCAGTCGAATTTATCTCATCATTCCGGGTCAACGTATACCGTAACAGAACCCATGGAAGAACTGAAGCTGACCTACAACAAGAACGATTCTGCGTGGAACGGTAAATTTGTTATTGAACAACCACTTGAAAAGGGTAAGAAAACGAAAAATCAAATTGTTAAAACCGGCGATACAGTAGTAGAGCATTCCTCTTCGTCAACTTCACATGAAGAAAGATCATCGATGGAAAAAAGCTCTTCTAGTAGTTATGTTTTAGAAATAGTAGACGGAAAAGAACGAATTATTGACAAAAAACATCATGACTCTGTGAAGTCAGCTCAGTCGAGCAATGACGAACATTTAATAACCAGAGGTGGAACAAATATCACCCCCGAAGTACATTTCAAACAAAAAGCTTCTGATAGTTCCACTCGGTATGACTCAGCTGTTCCTGAGTTCCAGAAACCCAAAACAAAGTCATCCACGGCTGTGCGAGAAATCCATCAAGTAGGAGATCAAACTTCTTCTTCCTCAGATATTCAACACGGTACTAAAACAATCACAGATGATAGGAATTCTATCAAGTCTGACACCAAACATTTTCTTGATAATGAAAAGACTGATTCGATAAAGCAACAAAGAAACTCAAAAGATATCCATGACGCTAGAACAGAGAGTATTCAATCTAAAAATGTAGGTGCTACTACTACCACAACTACTACCACTACATATTATGATTCTAAAGGAAATGTCATCAAAACATTAGTTGACGTTGATACAGAAAACACACCAGGTTCCTCAACCTCTCAAGAAAGAGTGACGCGAGATAATACGACAGAATCGAGCGATGTAATCCGCTCAGATGAAAGAAATTACGAGCAAGCTTTTCGAGGTACTAATGTGCCATCGACTTCAACTCCGAAGAAAACATTTCCAACTCAAGGCAAAACGAAATTTGAAGACACCAACAAATCCACAACCCAATTATCAGCGACTGAAAGTGATCAAATAATCACAGATACTTCAATTAATATCGTCGATAATGCGATGAGAAATGCCCAAATGTCGACTAACTCCAAAGACTTCTATGGGCACTCTGTTGATTCATCTGGAACTGTTGTTCGCAATGTTTATGATACGAATGCTATACAAAATACAATTGGTGTCAGAGGAAATGTTATCATGGACAATACAATAGACAATACCGATATTGTTTACTCAAATGACAGAAATTACGGAAAAACCGGTTGGAATGGTCAGTTCACATACGAAACGCCCCAAGACCGAAATGGAACTGTTCCAACCAACGACAACAAACCGAAATCTTCCACGAGGGGCCGTCAGAAGGTATCGCCTGAAGATCTCCCAGCAGCTGGAGCTCCATCACAGAGGAGGAGACCAGAGGGACCGTCAGAACATACACAAGATTTTCTCATGTCTGAAAGGATGGAGAACGTGAGACAGTCCACAGGTGATTCAACATTAATTAAGTCACTAACAAGTAACATAGTGGACTCAAAAACTACGATGAATAGCAATAAAATCATCTCGGATTCGACTCAAAGACTGCCTGGGGCTGGTGCGCCTTCTAGAGAATCAGTTGATGTGAACAAACCTGTCACTACTGATTCTGAATACTACGAGAATGTTATGAGAATGCAAAGTTCAGATACGAACATTTCGAAAAACTATAGCACCGAAACAATAACGAATATCACTGACTCAAGAAATACTATGGATAGAAAAGTAACAGGCGAAGAGAGATACATAAGTACCGAACCAAGAAGAATCTCTTATGATAAAATGCCAGCAGCAGGAATGCCTACTTGGGTAGCGGATGAGCATAATCCTATAAAGCCGACAAGAAAAGAACCTGACGTATTACCACGAAGAGAAACTAGATTACATCCAGAAGATTTTCCACCTGCAGGACGTTCTGGCATACCTGCTAAAAGAAGCGATTCTCCATCAAAACAAGCTTCTTCAGATATTACCACAAATACTGAATACATTGACCACAGAACTGAATCTAGTTCACATCATCAGTCAGTACGAACGGTCGATGAAAGAGTATCGAGAAATGGAGAAACAGTTCACCACAGCTCAGTTACTGATCGAAATACTTCAGACAGGCACCCCCATAAAATAACTGCACCTGAAGATTTGCCCGCAGCTGGTGCTCCTTCAAGGAAAGTGGAAAAAGATCTACCACCGGCGAATAAAAATATATCACCAAAAAAAGAAACTAAATTGCGCCCAGAAGATCTGCCAGCTGCTGGGAGTAGGAAGAAACCAGCTAGAAGAAGTGACTCCCCATCCAAGACAATACCGTCCACAAATACTACAACTTCTCTACATTCCGATACTATAACTGACTACAATACTACTGTGATAACTGATTCTACCTCACATCATGAATCAACACATATGGCTGACGAAAAAGTCATGAGAGATGGAAAAACCATTTATCACACTTCAGTTACCGAAAAAAGCACATCAGACGATCAACCAGAAAAAAAAACACGGAGCAAGATTGCACCCGAATACTTACCAGCAGCTGGAGCGACTACGAGAAAAACAGAAAAATATTTGCTAACTCACCAGAAACCATCGAGTCTTGAAAAGGAAACTGAAATACCAATTAAAAAAAATAGATTACGTCCAGAAGATTTGCCAGCTGCTGGAGATACTACTATTAGAAGTGGTTCTCCTTCCAAACAAATTCCAATAGGAGATACTACAGTTGCTCATCAAACTCATACTAGTATTGACCACGAAACTAGTCTGGTAACTGATTCAAAGTCACATCATCAATCTATTCATGTAATTGATGAAAAAGTTTCGAAGAATGGAGAAATCATTCATCATACTGCAATCACTGATAGAAGCACATCAGACCAACAAGGGAGAACTCCTCATGGTAAACTTGCACCAGAAGACTTGTCAGCAGCTGGAGCTTCAACGAGAAAGGTGGAAAAATATCTCCCAGATAACCAGAAGCCATCCAAACCTGGAATGAAACCTGACTCTCCAAAAAAAGATACTCGTGTGAGACCAGAAGATTTGCCAACAGCTGGCAGACCTTCGAAAACAAGTGAATATTCTGAGAGTATCACCAATTACTCAACTGATATAGTAGTTGATTCAAAATCACATCACGAAACTATTCGATCAGTTGATGAGACAATCTTGAGAGATGGGGAAATAGTTTATCATACTTCGATCACTGATAAAAGCAAATCAGATCAACCAGAGAGAAGAGCACCTGTTAAACTTGCTCCAGAAGATTTACCAGCAGCTGGAGCGACTACAAAAAAACCAGTCAGATACTCGCCAGACCACCAAAAGCCTAGAAAAGGGCCAGAACCTTCAAATGAAGGAACTAGATTGCGTCCAGAGGATCTGCCAGCAGCTGGAAGCCCTTCAACTAAACCAACTAGAAAAACTGATTCTCCATCCAAGCCAATACCGTCCAGAGATACAACAATTTCTCAACACACTGATGTGATTGATGACTACAAATCTAGTACAGTAACTGATTCTAAATCGCATCATGAATCTATGCTGATAGTAAATGAAACTGTCTTGAAGAATGGAGAAACCGTTTATCATAATTCTGTTACGGATAGAAGCACAACAGACCAACAAGCGAGAACTCCTCATAGTAAACTTGCACCAGAAGACTTGCCAGCAGCTGGAGCCCCTACAAGGAAAGTAGTGGAATATTTAACAGAAAACCAGAAACCATCAAAATCACCTGGAAAAGGACCTGAATCACCCAAAAAACAAACTCGTGTGAGGCCTGAAGATCTACCAACAGCTGGTAAACTGTCTAAACCAACCAGAAATGAGGTTATAAGCGACTACACGACTAATGAAATAACTGATTCAAAATTTCACGAAACAATTCGTGTAGTTGATGAAACAGTTTTGATAAACGGTGAAACAGTATACCATACTTCGGTTACTGACGTGAACACATCAGACCAACACAAGAAAACTCCGCATGGTAGACTAGCGCCTGAAGATTTTCCAGCAGCTGGAGCACCAACAAAGAAAACAGATAAACATCCACCAGCCGAACAGGACCACCAGAAACCATCATTTACTGGCAAGGAACCCAAAAAAGACACTAGATTGAGCCCTGAAGATCTTCCTGCTGCAGGAATGAGACCTAAACCACGCGATCGAGGCCCTATTGATGAGAAGCCAACAAAACGATCAAAATCTCCAAGCAAAAAAGATAAAACTCGTCCTGATCAATTACCAACAGCTGGAGTCCCTTCAAAACAAACTGATAAATACTCTCCTTCAAAAGTTCCAGAAAAGAAAACGTCAACTGACACTTTCGAAACTGTTTCAGACTTCAAAGAATCAAAGACTAATGCAGAAATCTACTCTACTACTACTATCATCGATTCCTTTGACAATAAAACACCCAAGGGGGTGAAATCACTGAATGATGAACCAGAAGATAGAAAACCGAAAAAACATGGGCCTTCAGATACTTCGGTGATTTCTAGAAAACCAACAGATACTGTAGTTGAAAACTATGAGTCTGTGAATGAGGTTATTGATATCAAGTCAAGTATGACCTCGGATTTTCGTACAGAAACGATTGTGAATAATACCATTGTGGAGAACTACACCGATATTGTGGATCGTACTGACAAAACATTCATCATAGAAGATGTGACTAACAGAAAAGTTGTCGATTCTGTGGATAAAGTCGACAGAACATTCATCAAAGAGGACATCATAGATATTAAAGATATAGTAAGTTCAAAGTCAAATTTTTAGGAACATAGTTGAACTTCTTCTGATTTTTTTCAGAAAGAAATTGAGAATATTACGAATATCAAGAAGGTGGTCGACAATAAAGTCATCAAAGTTGAAAAAATAATCAAGGAACCTGAACCCAAGAAGCCTCACTATGTTGTCCCCCAGAAAGAAAAATGTATTTGCGAACTCTGTGTATGTGGGTGAGTAATATTTTCTCAAATTCATTCACATATTGTTCAATATAATAATGTCCATAAAGGCAAAGAATACAAGGTGATTCATGAGGAAACTCAAGGAACATCAAGACTAGTTGACGTATATATATGAAAAATATTTTTGGCCATCCATAACGAATGAATTTTCAATTTTGATCTGGCTGAGAACTATTAACTTTCAACCAGATTCGTGTAAATTGATTTTTCGTACATTTTTGTTGAATATAAATTTACAGAAGAGATATATGTCTAGTCGTGACTCTCTATTTCATAAAGTTATGATGAAGTAGTAATTTCTTCAAACAGTTCTGATACAGCCGGCACTGTGGCTTTATGCTTCTGATTGTATCTTTTTCTTTATCTCTCGGAGCGCGCGAAAAGAAATTCCTATAATGTTCGTGGAACATCGTACGTATCTAGGAAGGACAGGGAGATGAGGTAGGCGTTGGATTCAATTTGAACTTTTGGAGGTTATAAGTTGAATACGCATTTCATCGATATTGAACTCGTAATGGGATCTGAATGTGATAATAGTATATTATTCGACGAGCGTGTAATGATGGCCATTACTCATGAGAATGAAGTTTGCGACGTGAGCCGCAGGCGAACGTCGTAATCATTCGAATGAGTAATAGCCATTACACGCAAGTAGAATACGATACTTTTTCTATGACTGAGTGATGAACTGGTTGAGTTCATCAGCAGTGAATATCTTCGCTTTCTTTGACATATATCCATCAGATTTCCTTTTTAGAAATGCTCGTAATTTCAAATATTTGTCAATATTCACATAATTCTTCATTGAAATTGTGCTTCTTAGTATATGCATGGAATACTGTGACCACAAGGAGGATGCTTTGTGTTTAGCTGCTAATTCGCCAAAATAGGCTAGCAGTACATTATCCGAAAACGAATTTGCAAGTTTTGCTTTTCGCCAAACCACTTCATACCATTTTTTAGATTCCTCGGGCAAAAGGCTGATTGTACTTGCATTGGCAGCTTTCAAAACTTCTGATGGTGGAGAGCAGTTGAATTCATTTTCGCTTTCTGAATCCATATTTGTACAAAAAGTCAGTTCTAAATCACGCCAGATAGCTATTGTCAAATTATGACATTTCATGACGAGTCTGATTCAAACGTTTCACTGCATGCTCCATATTATCATTACAACTGGTGTCAACTGTTTTGTAGGTAATGAATCTGCTTTGTTGCTGATTGGCCATAGCCTGTTGTGTAAAGGCTCTTACACACGGGGCGTGGCTTGTTTTGTGTAATGCATCCAGTTACCCAACAAAAATGTTACATTAAAAGGGTCTAGTTTTCAACAGTCATAGAAAAAAAAAATTTGTGACGGGAAAAAAGTTTGATATTTCATTTCTGTTAACAGGTTATAAAATGTCACTTTTCATAAATCATTTTTTTCATACGGGAAAGAAGTGAGTAAGTACTTTTTTCCCGGATGTATAAATAAATACACTGTTGATGACTGTTGTTGTGCTAGTTCCTAAAAATAAGCCAATAACACCGTCTCCGAGAAAGAACTGCAAGTCCTTTTATCGTTCATTCCACTGAGCGGTTACTCAAATTACTAAAATACTACTAAGTTCGCAATTTTTTAAAATCAAGTTACAGAATTAGACTGACAGATCTTTGATGACTTCAAGAGAATGATAAAGATGCCTGCAAAAAGATGCCTGCAACGCAGGTGTGAAACTTGTTAAAAATTTCAAATAATGTTCGAAATCACATAACCTAAAACCTCTTTCCTGATATACGTCGGTGAACCAAACACCCTGTAGAGTTGGTCCGCCCCGCCCGTCTCACCCTGACTGAACCTGAGTAGGTATATAGTGTGGAGACTTCAACTGGAATAAATTCGTTAGTGCGAAGGTGGATATTTATTCTGAAATTCCAGACATACGTCAACGATTCAATGTATTTTCCCACTTTTTTCAAGCATTATCAAGAATGTATCACTCCAGGGGTAGCTGACAGCACCCTCAACATGATTTTTTCAAATGTAACCCTATAGCTTGTTACCCTTCATTGGAAAGCAGGTGGAAAGAGGAATTCAGCATACTAGTCAAATTTTCGTTTTTCATAGGTTCAATAACGATTGCATAAACTTGGAATGTAATTTTGAAATTATTTTTTTTTTCAATGTATCAATCGCTCAAAATGTGTGTTGAACAATTGATGGCAATTTTTTCTACAATTGCTATCTGCTATTGTATTCCAGTGTTTTTATAGAGCCGCAAAAATAACTTCTGTTTTTTGCTGTATTCACAGTTAGAAACTGGAATAAAATGTTGCGGACTGGCTATTTCCATCAAACGTTTCGATGTTTTTATTGCATATCTGGATTCAGCTCACCGATATACACGATGAGAAGTTTCAGTTTTTTTTCTATGACCCCCCTGGGGAGCACTTTACTTTTGTGTTTTTTCATAAAATCTTGCGAACTGGGTATTTTTGAGTGTCAAATCATCTCAATTCCACCATAAATCGAGTCATCTCATGAAAATACACGATGAAAACTTTTGCGGACTGAGTATTTTTGAGAGTCAAATCATCTCAATTTCACCACAAATCGATTTATCTCATGAAAATACACGATGAAAACTTTTTGAAATCTTTCCTCAGGCCTCCTGGCAAGCTCTTTACTCGTGTGTTTTTTCATAAAATCTTGCGGACTGGGTATTTTTGAGAGTCAAATCATCTCAATTTCGCCACAAATCGATTCATCTCATGAAAATACACGATGAAAACTTTTTGAATTTTTTCCCCAGCCCCCCCTGTAGAGCACTTTACTCGTGTGTTTTTTCATAATATCTTGCGGACTGGGTATTTTTCATTGTGTATTTTCATGAGATGAATCGATTTAGGGTGAAATTGAGATGATTTGACCCTCAAAAATACCCAGTCCGCAAGATTTTATGAGAAAACACACGAGTAAAGTGCTCCCGAAGGGGGTCATAGAAAAAAATATATTAAACTTCGAAATTGTGTTTGGATGTTATCCCCAATCGTACTGCAAAAATTAAATATGATCAGTACGCTGGATTCATCTTGCAACCAGCTTTATAATGAGGGGATTGAGGGGTCGCCAGCCATAGGGTTGTATTTGAAAAAAACATATTGGGGTAGATTCCTGCCACCCCTGAAGGGTTATATTCTCCATATTGCTCACCAAATGTAGGTAAATACATTTAGAAGTTGACGTGTCTTGCGAATTTTTAGAAAAATCATTCACTCCCCCAGTAGCGAATTTATTCCACTTAAAGTCTCCACCCTGTATAATGAATATTATAGTATCATAGGTACTTATACCACAGTTAAAAGAATACACATATGTATTGTATTCTTTCAACTCTTGAAACATCTAGGATATTTGTTTGTTATGTTGAAAAATAGTTCAGCTCGAATCTTTCGCCATCGCCGGTTAAGTGCATAAGAACAAAACAGGTTCTTGTGGAATACTAAATCGGCGAATGCCGAATGTCTATAATAAACGATGATGTCATGTTTGTTCAGTTTTCATATAAGTATATACGCGGTTCTCGAGAATTCTGTTATGTAAGTAACACGCCCAGTTTGCCACGGTATTATCGTTATTGTCTGCCCAGTAGAATAATTGAAAATTACTTGGAGAGTAACTGTATAACTACTAACAGGCATAATGCGTACTGCCACTGAAGCTCAAACCAATTATATATACCTATTGATAATTTGAAGTTGAAATGTTATCATGCAAAATTCTATACCAAACTCAACTCAAAAGTCGAAATACCTCAATCGAAATTTTCATGTGCCTATATACGACTATGACATGAAACTGATAAGAGAAAAATTCCAATTGTGTTATTATAGGTTCATTATTCGCGTTCCGATTTCAGAACTGTTCAAGAATTGTTCTCGAACTGCGTAGAACTAGTGCGCAGTCGTTTCGAATCCTAGGACTGTTTCAGAACGGTTAAAAAATTATGAAAACCCGAACGCGGCAGAAGAGAACCTCTGAGAACATAACCTCCATTCAGAATTTGCGAAAAAAACAATAGTTTGAAACCTGTATCTTTATTCAAATAATATTCTGAAGCTTCAAACTCTCCTTTGAGTCTATTCACAATATCTCTGGAAACCCTCGGTGGAGGAATGGTGATTATATTCCATCATATAGCATTCGTAGCTAGATTTACAATATGTTTTGTCCCTTGTACCTACATAAATTTCGACACCAACCTGAAATGTTCAATGAATTGTGTATCTGAATATAATGGCAAAGGCTCCTCAATATAATCCTCCATTTTTCGGTTCATCTAACAAAAGTTCGAGAATGATCAGATTAGTTACAATATTTTCAGCAAGTTCAGCAAGGAACTCCTTTTCCATCTTTTCATGCCTCACTGTATTCAGAAAATATCTCGATTAGACAAAAAGAAAAGCATATGGTTAGTTCCATTTAAAAAAAAAGTTGACAACCGCTTAGTTTTGAAATTTGATAAAATAATGATCAACACATTGTATCTCGTTTTTTGTCAATCATTCTGTATTTTGATCAACACATTTCACGATCATCAAATGTGTTTTTTGAAGTAGAAAAAACAAATTCGACATACGCTTATAATAATATATTTGTATGTGTGTGTGAATCTTAAATCGCTTGTGAAGTTTTATAACATTTACTGTGGACTTCCACCAAGAACGGCCGAGTTCATATAACAACATAGTATATAATAGTTCAATTTCACGTTCCCAATAATGTTATTCAAATTGGAATGTTCATTTGTAAATCTTGACATAGATTTCATGAATAGATTGTGTTAAAATAGCGGTTATGGACAAATTCACATAGTACTCACAAATTCTCTCATCTTTCATACCTACGTATACATTGTGAGGTTAAGACTGTTAAGAGTATGGGAGTTGCACGTGAACATAAGAAGTGATTCAGTTGTTCAAGTTCATTATATAATAAACCACCATTT